AGCCGGGTGTGGTAGCGCGCACCTGTAGTTCCAGTTACTTGGAAGGCTGAGGCAGAAGGATCGCCTGAGCCCAGCAGGTTGAGGCTGTGGTGGCCGTGAGCATGCCACTGCACTCCAGCCTGGGCGACAGAGAATCCAACTAAAAAAAAAAAATTAGATTATGCAGTTGTGCTTCTGTTGGGAGCAAGAGAAGTCAAAAACCGGAGGAAGTGACAGCTAAGGCCCTGAGGACAACCTGTGCGCTTCCATGTCTCAATAGTATGGTCTGGAAGATTAAGGAGGCAGATCAGATTCTTAACTGTGACCAGTTTACCAAGTGCTCACTATCCTGTGAGGTGAGCTCGGGCCACAGCCCATGTGTCTTCATGTGTATTTCTTTCAAATTCTCACCCTGAGAAAATGTTTGTGGAAGGAGTGACCTAAGGGCCAGGTGAAGTGCGGTGTTCACTCATCTGCTCAATTACTTTCTTGCTCATATGCAAACACAAGGAACCAGGATCTTCAAGGAATACTATTTCAGAAAAACAGGACTGTGTCAAGCAGGCTCAATCCCACCACCTGGAAGCAGCTATTGGTTAGTAGGCTTTGGGGTTAATGTTAATTTTCTTCTTTTTAAAAAATTTTTAATTTTTGTAGAGATGTGGTCTCACTATGTTGTTCAGGCTGGTTTTAAACTTCTGGCTGCAAACATTCCTTACACCTTGGCCTCCCAAAGTGCTGGGATTACAAGCATGAGCCACCACACCTAGCCTTAATTTTCTTCAAGTTGGTGTCTCACTCTGTCTCTCAGGCTGGAGTGCAGTGGCACGATCATGGCTTACCACAGCCTTGACCTCCTGTGCTCAGGCAATCCTTCGACCTTAGTGTCCCGAGTAGCTAAGACTATAGGCGCAGCTAATTTTTTGATTTTTTGTAGAGACAAGGTCTTGCTATGTTGCCTAGGCTGGTCTTGAACTCCTGGGCTCAAGCAGTTCTTCTACCTTGGCCTACCAAAGTGCTGGGATTATAGGCGTGAGCCACCGTGCCTGGCCTTCTTCCTTATGTTTTTACCATTTTCTCAATTTTCTACTAAAAACACATTACTTTTAAGAATAGAAAATACAGATTACCAGAAGACCCAATGGATCACAAACCCCCAAAAAAGTCTCCTGTTCACATATGAAACATTCTGTATTGGGAGCTTCACAGTCCTGTTTGACCTGTCAATATTTATGTTTAGTTCAGTGTGAAGCTATCTCCTGATAGAACCCCAGTGTCGCTGTCATTTGTAGTATGTTTAGGGCAACAAGAAGGAAGACTGTGCTGGGGGCACATGGGAGGCTATGAAGAATGTGGGCTGGAACAGCTGAGCTTCTAAAAATACATTCCTTTTACATAGGCAAAAGTATTTATTCCCATTTGTTTGATTTAAGAGTGTGACCCTATCCCCTTGAAATGTACATATTTTCAATAATAGATTTCTAGAAAAGAGAGAGATAACAGAGTAGAGGAAGAAGAAGGACTGCAAAAACAGAAATAGCCCAAGCCAGACACAAGAACACATTTCCAAATTTTTCAAGTTCACGGTCCAATCCTTACCTCAACTGAGGGTGGTGTCAAAAGTGGCCCTTGTTTCCAGGGAGCAGATGTGGCTTCCCCTCTCCCAGCCCTCCCTGACTCACCGGCTTCACTGTCTCTTCTCTTCACTGGGAACACCTTGCTGTCAAGCCCACTCCTTTTCCCTTAGGCACTTAGATCTCTGCCAAGGCCGCTGGCTCCAGGCGGCCAAGTCACAGGCCTTGAGTGCCCTATATATTCTGAGACTGAATCCAAAAATCATAAAACACGGGAATATGATGCCAAGTTAGGATGCAAGATTCCTAACTCAAACCCGGCTCTCAATGACCAGCTGTGTTCCAAAGTCGAGAGACACAGAAAGATAAAGGTGACCCAGGTCCCATAGCTCACCAGGCCACAAGGCCAGACATACGTCTTCCAGGCACTCAGAAGAGCACCATTAACTCTGGGGGGAGATTAATCTTACCCATAATTTCTGGGTCGGATTCTGACCTTTGGAAATGCGGTCAGAGGGAACCCCAGGAGGAAAGGCCCAGAGGCCTGGGAATGAAGAGGAGTTCGGGGCCAGAGCTTAGTGCTGGATAAGGGCAGGAAGGTGCATGAGGCTGGGCAAGCTGTGGAAGGTCCCAAATGTCACACCGAGGAAGGGGACTTCATCCCACAGTGCCTCTAAGTTTTAGATTTCGGGGTCCAGTATAATTTCAACAAACCTGGGGACTTAGGATAGCAAATTGACCATTTTACCACACATAAAAAAACCTTTAAAACCCAAAGTAAAAACTCAACACCAGCTACTACTTGCTATTACCATCATTTTTTTAAAGGGCATTTTAACACCAGCAAAGCTGAGAAGACACAACTCAAAATAAAGACAGTCTCCGCCGGCACCAAAAAAGACAAGTTGGCCACCGTCTGCCAACATCCAAGTGTTATCAGATAGCCACCACATCGTCCCTGTGGTTCTCATTTTTCCTTAGGCAAATGGAAACTTCCTCATTGATTGGGGCTGGGAGCCACAGCTGGGGACCAAGAGAGGCAGAACAACTCAGACCTGAGAGTTACATCTGTTTGTGTGCTCAAGATGAGACATGCATCTTGTTCACTGGTGCAAAAACTCAAAAGGAAGTAAAGTTTAGAAAAGTGCCAGGCATGGTGCCCACCAGAGGGCCCACCCGTGTATGACACTACGAGAGGATGTAGCTGGTGTTCCTTGGGGACAAGAAAAGCTTCTGTGGTCAAATGGGTTTGGAAAACATTGGTACTTTTTGAACATTTATTATTCACAAGGAAGACACCTGTGAGTTTTTTTGTTTGTTTTTTGTTTTGAGTTGGAGTCTCACTCTGTTGTCCAGGCTGGAGTGCTGTGGCACACTCATGGCCACCCCAGCGTCAACCTGCTGGGCTCCCGCTAGCCTTCCGCCTCAGCCTTCCAAGTAGCCAGAACTACTGTGTGTGCTACCACACTCAGCTAATTTTGGATTTATTGTAGAGACAAAGTTTCGCCAAGATGCCTGGGCGGGTCTCGAGCCCGTGGGCTCAGGCAATCCACTTGCCTCGGCCTCCCAAAATGCTGGAATTACAGGCTGAGTCACCGAGCCTGGCTGAGATTTTCTGTCTATCTGTCCATCTGCCTGTCTGTCTAAGCAAACCGTGCAGACTAGACTCCAATACACAGGGTCCCCCTGGCTAATCTGACGGTAGAAACCTCGTCTCACCACTGACACAGGCTGTGGAGCCCCACAGAGATTTACTCATTATTTAGCAGCGTGATGTTAATGCAGGTGAGATGCGAGAACAGCAGGCAAGCCTCCAGGGGCACCCGCAAGTGGGGGACGAACGATGGCACCTCCATCCCCACCCAGCAGCCAAGGCCATGTACCTCCAGGTCGGAGTTGACGGAGGAGACCTCGGAGGAGCTGCCGGAAGACACTCGGGCCCGGATGACCTGAACAGGAGGATACGAGGGGGGTTCCTGCAGGGGCGCATCTCCGTTGTTCGTCTGTCCGTCGCCAGGCAGCCTGGTGGCACTGCAGCCTGTCTGCAAGGTGTGTGGGAAAGGGCAGGCAGGGATACTCAGTTCACTCTTATGGCTGAACTGCCCAAGCATTCCCCGCCTGCAGTATTCAAAAGGTCCAGAAGGGCAGTGTCTACCTGCACTCCCACACCCTGGCCACCCAGGCCTCTTTCCCAGAGGCAGCCAGCGCTGTTTCTTACTTATCCTTCTAGATATTCTATACACATACGAAGGGGGGACTCTAAAAAACTGGAATTTATTTATAAAACGGTGTGTATTTATTTATTTTTTGAGTTGGAGTCTCTCTCTGTCGGCCAGGCTGGAGTGCAGTGGCATGCTCACAGCCACTGCACCCTTGACCAACTGAGCACAGGTGATCCTTCCACCTTAGTCTTCCAAGTGGCTGGAATTACAGGCATGCACCACCACACCGGGCTAATTTTTTGATTTATTGTAGAGATGCGGTCTCAGTCTCGCCAAGTTGTCCAGGCTGGTCTCGAACCCTTGGGCTCAGGCAATCCTTTCACCTCAGCCTCCCAAAGTGATGTGATTATAGGCGTGAGCCACTGTGCCCAGCCTTTTTTTTTTTTTGAATTGAAGTCTCACTCTGTCACCCAGGCTGGAGTGCAGTGGCATGCTCACGGCCACTGCAGCCTTGATCTGCTGAGCTCAGGCGATCCTTACGACTCAGCCTTCTGAGTTTCTGGAACTACAGGCACACGTCACCATGCCCGGCTAATTTTTTGATATATTGTAGAGGTTGGGTTTCACCAAGTTGCCCAGGCTGGTCTCAAAACCGTGGGCTCAGGCAATCATCTCAGCTCAGCCTCCCAAAGTGCTAGGATTATAGGCATAAGTCACCGTGCCCGGCCTAGACACATACTTTTTTTTTTTTTTTT